TAGAGGAAGAGCGGAATAGAGGAATGACAGAGGAATAAGAGAGGAATAGTCGGGGAATAGAGGAATAGCGGAATTGAGGAATAGGGGAACAGCGGAATAGAGGAATAGCGACCGACCGACCGGAATATATTTTGAAACGTTCCCTTAGCACGGGTGAGAAAAATAGATCACTGTCAGAAGCTTATTTAAGAGAACGACGATATAGATGTCAAAGTTATCCATATCTTTTCAATTCATCCACATGATTATATCTAACACATTTACTATTAGATTTGATTCAACAGAAAGTGGAAGGTGTTTGCTGCTTTGGCGAGTAGTACTGCAGAGTTTAAAAGTGATCTTTAAAAGTTAAAGGATTTCGACAAAAAATTAAAATAATTATAATTTGAGTTAAATTGGTTATAGTTAAAAGTTATGACTACAGTTGTAGATTTCTTGTCACAACTTCAGCACATTCATAGGAAATATGATAGAGCATAACATACTTTCACATAATTAAATGTTTTGAACGATATCTACATTCACATTTCTGGTGGATCCACTTATTTTGACGCCACTGATGTCATCAAAATGTTCCTAAATTTGACCATAATTCTTCCCGTTCTAGGAGAATTAACTATTTTAATCTCATCTATAGAATCCATTTATGGTGAAGTTGCCGCTTTAATTAGTGCACTCAATTTAGATTTAGACAACTTGAAGTTATCAAAAAGGAAGAAGAAATAAAGTTAAAAAAAACTATCATGTGTGTAGTACATCTTTGATCTCTGACAGTTCACGATTTCTGTTCGGGAACTGCTTCTTAGTTTTCGTTCCTGAACTAAGTAATGGCTCACCAGTTCTAGTACCTCTTACAGTTGTTTTTGAACGAGAAACTGTTGAGGCTCTCCTTCTCAATGCTCTGCTAGTTTATTATGTATTCATATAGCGAACATTTTGAAAAAGCAAACAATCTAACAAATCACTATGAAGAAGACCATCAGTCTTCTCGTTCAAAAACAACTGTAGTTTCTGTTCGAAGGAACTAGAACTAGTAAGCCATTACTCGCTCCAATGAACGTGAACTGCTGAACCGTTCTTAGTTCAAAAACGAAAAGTGGAAAGTAGTTCTCGTTATCGACAAATTGCAATTCAATGAGCGGTGAACTGTCACAGACCTAGTACCTCGCTGTTTATGAAAAGGAAGAAAATAAAGTCTATATTTCACACGACCATTGTTTTCTACCTCATATGTGTAATGCAAAAGTTAAAAGAAAATTATGTTTAGTCCACTAGAGATGATATACATCTGTTACACATTTCGTTATTTTCGTGTAACTCATTCTTTTTATTAGCCACCTATAACTTTTAAAACTCACTATTTATAACTATTCTTAACTAAAAGTTTAACTAACCATTTATAACTGGGAATTTTAAACTCTCGAGTGGTGAAATAGAGTCTATGTTTTATCTTTTCTTTTTCTCCTCGTCCGCAGGGAATCCTGCCATGTTCAGGAAGCTGGAAGGAAAATAAATAGATCGTTGAAGTCTACACACCTTTCCGTTACATCCCTGAAATGTGATGGCATACATTTTATATGCAAAACGTTGAACTTTTCCTCTTTCTTTCCTGTATAACGCTGGCGTGATGGAAGAGATACTTGGGATATACAGCTATTTCTACTTGTAAACTTATCTCCCTTCTTCTATATTTAAAAATGAGTTTCGCAGGATTGCCCTAAAGATCTCACTTACGCGACTGACAGACGATCCTACTTATTTTTTTTAGAAAGTGGGTTTGAATTCTGTGATGTATCTGTAGTTTAATTGTTTTAAGAGGTTCCGTTATTCAGGAAAACCTCTAGATTATATGTCTTTGTGTGTTTTGAGAGAATAAAAAAGACGTATAAAGATGATATCGATCTTAATGTGTAGATAACAATCAATCTATTGCTAATCGTAGTAAGAAGCTTAATGAGCAAAAGGGAAGACATCATTGTCAGGTCATAACAGCACCTGACTGAATGTATATAAATCTTTTTTGCTGGATACTTGTATCTAGTAATATGCACGACTTTCGTGAACTGTGGCCGCATCCATACCCATCCAACGAGGATCGCACATCACTTTTCATATCATATTATCTGATATATTTTACATAAATTTAGATAGCGACTATTCAATTAGCTTTAAAATCGATTTCATAGACGAGAAGTAAAAAAGCTCCGGACACATTTACAATTCCAGAAAGGATTACTATCAAGCACAAAGCAATTTTAAGGCATAGTCGTTTATACTATTAAAACATAGTATTAAAATTCGACTATATGCAAGAGAACAAAGCACATAAAAAAGTTGCTAAATTTACTCGTGAATAAAAGGCGCCCAATCGTGCAACAGGTCAAAAAATGTTCAACTTATTATATACAATACTTGTTCGCTACTACAGATTAACACAAAAATATACTATATAAAAAATTTGAACATCTTAATCAAAAGGTTTGTTTTGATTATTAGCTTAATATTTGATGGACGGACTTATAAGTTTTCTAAAGACATTTAGCGAAATAATTGTTCAAGTGCGTCATCAAATTTTAATATATCATTCATTTGGGTAAACCACACCCTGTCAAAGTATTTATCAACTATTCTATAGTACGATTCAGGTGCCTAAAACCGAAAAAAATTGAAAACTATGGATACAGATGGTGTCTTTATACTTACAGAACATTTCATTTGAAATAACCGCCACAACAACCGACCGTTTACACCAGCAAGAGCACGTTCCGTGCTAAAATAAGAATGTATAAGACTCTTCCTGAAAGAACACATGTCTAATAACTCACTTTCTTAGACCAGTTTGGATCATCCATTGACGTACAGCTGTGCCATCCCATTTTAACACAGCATTTTCAGTTTCTGCAACTCGAGTATTAGTCGTCTGGAGACTTGCAACATACGCATTTTTAAAAACTTAATAAATATAATAAAAAGATGGCATTTTTTCTTCAGTTGCTAGATCTTACCTTTAGCATGATCATAATCGAGGACATTTGGTCCTGTCCCCGGCGTCAAGTCATGTCGGAGTGTTTCGATTTCACGAATTAATACAGCAAAAGCTTCTTCAAATGGAATTGTGGCGAAATCTACCTAAATAAATATTCATATCTACTATAATGGAATTGATGTAATTAATTAAATAAATAACTTGCATGAATTTTTGCACCTTTGATAATGCCTAACCATCCATATGGACGAAATCGGGGCTGCATTAAACACGGTATGCAAGGTTTTCGAAGTTCAGTGGCATATTCTGTTTAGAATTAAAAACTAGTCACCAGTTACATGATTCTGATAAGACAATGATGTTACGGTAAATACCTGCTTCTAAAAGAAAACGAGAAAATATTTTTAATTATTGAACAGAATTGGACACGAACCTAATCGACAGTAATAACTTTGTTTATAGTTTTCATTCATACAAATTAAGACGACGCAAGATTTTTCTACAGCTGCGGCCATTGATTCAAGAACACCACCGTTGATATTATCGATATCCATCCAGACATTATAATGTAAAGCCTAATCTACGCAAAGTAACAACAAATGTTTACGAAAACAACAAAGTAAATCGATTTTTCTTCATGTACTAATGCAGCGAAGGTATACGCAAGAATGCGACTAATTCTGATTACGATTATACGTGAACTATCCATGAAAAGTCTTGCCTATAATAGATCTAACGTGGGACAAGCGTTTTCTTCAAAGATTGAGTAGTTATAAGCGGATCCAAAAAACGAATTGTTAACGTTTCTCCACCCTTGAAAAGATCATGGATTTAAAAAGAATATATTTCGTTTACTTTTAAACGATCACGGATTTTGATACACATGGCTGTACTCGACCTGTTATAACTAATCATAATATGCCCTTGAAAGCCATGATCGACAACTGGGGATATTTCTAGAAACAAATCAGTGCAAATTATCCATTTTTTTCCTTTGTTTTTCGATAGCAATTACGTCGATGTGGGATTTTGTTAAGTGTCCAGAGAATGGCTTCACAGTTTTTTTGTACCAATAAGCTTCGTGTTACATTTCTAGTAGTTGTTATAATAGCAACAGTATTTTCTGAATTAAGTAATAATTGAACCTAAATAATCATACAGTCAGTTTTACCGTACGTAAATTAAACCTTCGATATATAGAACATACTTTTTCATCAAATGATGCACTAAAATACAAAAAACATGTGTTAAAGTATTAAACTAGAAGTGTGATTTTGCTCATACTTGAGTATAGCACTCGACACACATTCGAGAAGTTTTACATCGTCATTCGTATTCATTATATCCAGCAATAGATTCACTAAACTTTTATCAATACATGTATGCATTCGGCCTTTCACCATTATTTTTGATAAACCCTCAACTAATTCCACAAACGAAAATCCATAAAAACGTTGATCCGCTTTTTTGTACATGTGTATTAAACCGATCAATAACGGAAGAACTTCTAAAAGTAAAAGAAAGCCTATAATATATTTAAAATTTTGTTAAACATTTTACCATTTGCTTGCGCAAGTAAATTATCTTCATCTTCATTCATAATCAATGGTAATACAAGACAAGATGTAACACGAATAGCATTAATGATATCTTGTAACTCATTTAATCTTAACATGTATTCTTTAGTTTCTGGTGTTTCTTCAAATTGAGTGCAAACAGTCTCCGATTTTAATTTCGTATATTCTGCTATCGTCTAAAAACACATAAGAATATGATCAATCATCACCACAGATCAAACAGAATGCTAACCGTGACCGCGTTACATTCACGAAAGTGAATTTTTAATTCTGGTATATTTGCCATATTGTATAAAATTGTTAAGGACGAATCGACGATCCACAAGATTTTCTAACACGAAAAGATTATGATGAAAAAGTGTAGATTTTTTACTTTGACATTTACCTGATAATTCTTAAAATCATCACTCCCAATAACTTTTGCTGGATTTTCGATTACATAAGATTTTTTTAATGATTCACTGTATGATGGATTATTTAAAATTTCAACGGCAAATTCAATAAATCCAACGTCAGCTGCTTGCTATAATAATAAAAAAAAGTATTAGAGTTCACTACGAAAATCAAAACAAAGGAAGATCAAAACACTAACTTTTCGTATAAGACCTTCTTTGTCAAATTCTCCGTCAGTAAAATTCGCTACGCAATTGTACAACAGAATACTGTGCACAAAAACAATTCGTCGCACCATTAGTCCTTTTTCTTTGTAGATTCCCATCAGCGTCATAGCCAGTTCTAAAAAATTAGATTGAATTGTTATATACTGTAATCACCAATTCAAGATATATTGTGTGAAAAAGTATGCCATACAAATTTTCAGAAATTTACAAAGTAGTGAGAATACTTAAATTTTTGTATTACTCAAGGTGGAATATATCATAAAAGCCTGCACAAACTCCCAATTTTTTATTCTGTTACTATCTCTTTTCCTCGTTTTTAAAAAGCTTGTTTAACGCGATTTCTTAAAAATGTTATGAAAAGTGAAGAGAAACACCGTTTTTACCGTCCTAGTATTACAAGGTAGAAATCGCTTTTTATCGTGTAGATCTCACTAAAATACAGCATAACTTTTAACCGTATTTAGCGTATTCAGATCAAACACTACTCTTTTATTCTACTTTGAGTAATACAAACATTTAAGAATTTTTAATATTTTGTAACTTTCCGAAATTTCATATTGCACATTGTCGTATAATTTTTCACACACTGTAATAAAAATTGAATATATGTAACCTGGAAACTTTTTCTCTGCTAATTTTAATTTAGCACCGGATATCCATTCTTTCGGCTGATGAATAAGATTTTCTAAAAATTTTAATTGTTTTAATGCCGTTCGACTTTCATATTCCTCTCGTTTCATTGTACTAAGAATATTTAAGGCATTTTCCAGCTACAATTGAAATAGTTGAAAAGAAAATATGCAAAAGTCAACAATCAATACATTGTTTCAAATCGAACCTGTTGTGTGTATTCTTCAAATGTTTTTGCTTCATTCTCAATATCAGATATTTGAGAGGCAGCTTCAGATTTAGCATCTTCATCTGCGTATGATTCGTCTGAGCTTTCGACATCCATTGCTATTCTTCTTATCTTTCGTCGTTTCTAAAATCAGAGAACAAGTGCTAAATTCAAGCTAGCTACGCTAGATTCCAGATGTAAAGAACTACTTACAGCAAGAAATTGGAGGGGCATTTTAGCCAAACGTTTAATTTTAATAACATGGGCTAAGTAATCTGATATATTTGTTTGTGCTATGAATGCATTCTTAAACGAATGAAGGAATTCAGCACTGTTACTACGAAGTTTTAAATCCTAAAATAAAACGAATAAAATCGTTGTTTCACAAAATTTATCAACAGATAAAAATTTACTTCATTTGATTTCGACTGTCCTGACATAATCAATTGTTTGCTCAACATATTTTTTCTACAGATCTTCTAAACATCTAAAGAAATTAAGATAGATTAGTCGAATACAAAGTCTTACGTTCTAGCCTAATTTTGCTCCCATTGTATACAGAGAACAGAACGTGTTTTGATGCTGCTATAAGCATCAAACGAGCCATTATACCAATATCAATAAATAAAATAAATTATAAAAAAAATTGACATCCTTTCTTTCATAATGCAAAATAAAACAAAAAATTTTAAAAATGAATGATACATAAGCAATAATTAGTATGAAAATGATGAACAAACTGTACTTTAATGGCTTCTTATTCCAGAAAATTCATCTCGTTGCATTATGACAATCACCACACACTCTTATCCTTTTCATAATTTGAATGGTTACCACATATACAGCAACGAGATTTTCTTCGTCTCGCTTCAGTTACGAATAACCAAATATATAACCATGTTGTTTGAATCTGAGTAACATTCTCTCTAATTCTTTGTAGTTTTGGTTTAATTTCACATCTTCTATTTTCTAATGCCATCTTTTTCCCAATTTCTTTTGTATTGCTGTTGATTGTGTGTATTCATTTTGTGATAATTGAGTGTTTATTAATAGATCAACATCAATATGCTTGAAAGAACACAAATTTCTTTTATAGATTTTGTTGGTCCTTCGATTATTCCTTTCTAAGATACACACAACAGACTAGTGTACATCAGAAAAAACGGGTTATCTATCTTCCATTTTTATTCTACTAAACAACTTGATGGTACCACCATACAATATATTTGAATAAGAGAGGTATAAGTAATAATACTATGTTCTCTCAATTGATTAAATATATTTTTCGCTTTTCCTATATTATCGCATTTATCGAACATCTAAAATAAGCAAACGAGAAATCTATAGTGATTAAAAGTACAGCTATATATCAGTAGATTGACAGCATATGAGAGCACTCTGCAATATATGATTATCACTATAGCGTTCATTAGTATCATTATAAAGAAAATTGGTTTATGTTTTCTTTTCAATTTGAGAGTACACGATTGTACATAAAGTAGTATATCACATTAATTCAAGTTTCATTTGATGTAATTTTATTTTTGAATACAAATTCAATACTTCAAACGGTATATCGTACACTAGATGATCGTTTATTAATAAGTTTATGTACTATGCCCTTACATTTTATTGAACACTAATAATATCACTGCATTTTCTGAAGTTTAGACAAAACAATTATTCATCACCAACAAAAACAACATCAAACTTACCCATAAAAATCAATGAATGTGTTCTGTAATTTATCGTGAATTTAATTTTATCATGTAATTCATGATAATGTTTTCCCATTTTTAAACGATCACTACCATCAATTTGATTTAACTTATTAATAATCAGAATTAACGAACGATACCAGGTTTAGGCGGTGAACGATGTTTTTTAATTGTTAATATTATATTTAATATTAGCAGTTGAATGAGAATTTACAGACTGAGCAAAAAATTTTAGATTTACAATAGCAATAGTTTGTGGAATAGACGATTTTTTTGCGGCTACATTTGATAATGTTGTAAAACAGTTACTGCAATGACGGTTATCAATTGATAATAATCATCTTAACTGTTTATTTATAAGAGAAATCCGAAAAAATGAATCTGAAATGAACTACTTTGTTAGTTTCATTACTTAAAACGTTCTTTTTATGGAATAGTGTAAATAGGAGGAAGTAAAAATTAGTTAACAGAAGAATAAAGCAGCACAAGATGTGTTAACAAAAGAAAAACAGATATTTTAGAAATAGATACACGTATAAGTCAGTGTAGTAAAAATAAAATAAATTTTAGCGAGATTATAGTTTTTGACCATAAAAATAAGATGTGGTTGTTAGAAGGAGACTAGAGTCCATGTATTCATTAGTAAATAACTCTATGGAATCTAACAATTCAAAAATGGATTAAAAATAATTAGAAATGCAATACAAAAAAGAATACAAAATAAATAGTATAATTTAAGAAAACGGGCTAGGAGAATATAACCTGTATACGATGGTCAAGTTTTTCTCTTTTAATAAATTTTTAGATAGTATCGTTACCTCTGGTTTGTTTTTAATGTTTTAGATCGTACGATTTTTCTTCTTTGTTATTATGTTACTGAAGAAGATGCATTAGTGTTTAGCAATACAATAAAAATTACGAAAAGTATTAAAATTAATATAATTACTAATTATATCAACTCTTCGTATACAAAATAGATCAAGATTACTTATGAAAAACTGAGAGCTTCTGTTTTCTTTGTTTACACTATACATAGAAGTCAAAACAATCAATTAATGGATAAAATCTTCAGAGATGTCATAAAGCGAATACGGCCCGTATTGGGATCCACTGGTCAAAATACTGGCGTAATACGTAATACATAATGCTTACATACATAAAACACAATCCGTAATACAGTGAGAATTATGGAATATATGGGAATTATGAGAATTTTGAGAATTATGGGAAGCATGTGATAACCATATATGGCAAATTTTTCATGGTACACATTTGGTATTTCTAGCAGTGGGAGGTGCGGGGGGAGGGCAGTGTCAGAGTGAGTTCGAAAAATAGTTTAGTTATGAATACACAATGTGTGCTATAAAAAATTCACCATCAATGGTCGATGTCGACATAGACCATACGAAGATTTTTCATAATTTTTCCGATAATTCCTATATTTCCATAAATGCAAAGATATAAATTGAAATCGTGCTCAAATTTCTTCCAAGTTCGAAAACGACGCAAAAAGACGATACCAATTGTAACCGCATTATGACACCAATCAAAATCTTGAATTTTTTGAAGATAGCAAGATTAAAAAAAGACAGTAAACAATGTTAATGAATAGAATACAAATCGATCACATGAGTACAATTTATTTTAATACAATATATTGGCATTTTCATATTTACCATTGTCGTACTTGAGAAATAACTTTCATTATTTTTGTGACAATTGTTATATTATAGTTTCTTAATTGAATAGTAATTTTATTTAACAAAGTGAATTTCATCTCATTGCTAATCATTGTCATCCAAAAAATATGAACCATGACTTATCACTATCATCATCAGTTACACATACACAACATCTGTTTTTCATATGATTGATATTTAGAAACATAATCTCTAATGAGTATTTGTCGTTGACAAAATACGTTTAATTTAATTTCATGAGAAGTAGTTACTCCGATTCATTTGTTATTTGGATTAGTTTTGTAAACGGTGATTATTGATTTTAATTAAATACCACTTCTTTGTTTACTTCGATAATCTCGTTTTAGTTACATTTCTGTAACATATGTAATAGTGTTATTCTTTCACCGTAGAAACAAACGAAAACTTTTGTGTATCTACGATAATAATTTTTTAATTTCGTAATCAATTTTTTCGTAGAGATCGATGTAACTTCGTACGATTTACCGTTCGCTGCGGTTCATGATATATTCGCTTCGCACGATGTATTTGTTCTATATATTTTTGATACGATGAGAAGATTTTTTATCTTTATAATAGTTTTTTTAGATATATCTTCAAATAGCCATGACTATCCAGATACTTACTATATAATCTGAATAAATAAGAATTACTTTAAACGATGATTTGGTTTGTATAAATTCAATGCTAAGACCAGTTACATCATGACTTTGAAACAATATGATCATGGAAACCTGTGACGAAGCAACACGAAGATGAAACTTTGTCAAGAAGATTGCATACTGATCTCTCACACAGCTAGAACATTTTCCTGTTCGAAAAATGAGAATAATGTATGCGATTTGAACTAGTTTCGTCTACTGATCTCAAATATGTTATGTATGGCTTATCTCCAATTTTTTTCTGAAAATGATTTAATTCGCTGAAAGAATTTACCTCCCAATAACAGCTGCAAAATATGACTGTTGACGAAATTGAAAAAAAATCGTATGCGTCAAAAATTGCACTGTTATTTTACTTTCATAAACTAAAAGGAAAAGCGTATTAGTCTAAAGGGATAGATGGCGTCCCGCTACAACTCACTATATTTCGGTCTTAGTCAGAATGGAAGGGTGTCAAAAACTGAACAAGTTAACGTATTTTTTATTCTTAGCAAATTAGTCTTGAGGACGAAAAATTCTATTTCAAAAATACTATTTCATGAAATTTCGGATTTCTAAAGAAAAATCAGTGAAAAAAACATCCAAATTAACAGGAGATTGGTCAACGTATGCAGTTTTCCATACTCGAGTCAATGAAATCAAACCTATAGTTAGCCCATTGTGCCTTCATTAAGTCAGAATTAAAATTATTTGTCTTTCGCTGGAATTAAAGGTATCTGAAAAGCTTTTAGTTTCCGGCGCAAAAAGACTCCGCATTCGAATAGAGCGTAGACTTTACATATTTGAGATGATTTTCAGGATATGTTTTGGAACCGACGTAAGGTTATTGAAAAAAAAATAAAGGAGTTTTTAACGTTTTCAAAAGTAGTCGGCTGCCATTCTGAATCCTCCACCAAGTTTTTCTCTTGGCAGCTACTTTTTACTCAATGCTATACTGAAGTAATTCTTTCAACGAATTTATTTTATTTTATTTTTTGTTTTTTGTCATTTTGCGAAAAAGTGTTGTGGAGCTCTTCGAAATATTACTGGCTCTTTTGCAGCCATTTTTATCTAGTAGTTGGCCTCTTTACAACCGTACATTTTAGAGTACGTCGTAATTGGGTTATACGTTTCCGGCCATGCGGTTTATCCATGTCCTGTTGATAGGTCATACATAAAGCGTTGCGAACTTGTGTATATGGGACTAATAAATAATAAAGTTAAATCGAATTTTTTTGAATTTATTTTGTTATATTTATCACTAGTATAACTGTAAATAACAGCCTTTAATAAGCACATACAAAAAGTAAAAGATGATTCTCCAGATTTTTAATAAATTTTGGGAAAATTATATTACACGTTTTTTTGCGTATCTTTAGCTGTGTTTGTCCATAGGAATGATTTCATGTAAATAGATGAACATATTTGTTTTCTGTTTCTGTATAACTTATTGAGGCGAAGCTGTTGTGCTAATAAGTAAAAAGGGATCACGTATATCCTATGGGTCTAGACGTGAAACTCTTTGTATAGCGGGACATTGTTACTCTTGTTAAACTTTCCATTCTCTTTAACTTTCCCATTGATTAGGACAGATTTTACAAAAAATTTTAAAAAGGAATAGGTACGTTCTGCGTTTGTCTCCAATACCTATCTATTAACCCTAATCCGTCCACTCGGGGTCCGTGCGGACTCCAGACGAAAACGAGTGCTTTGAAGATGTCTTACTACTCTGCCAGATAACTAATGAGTGGATGCCATCAGTTCATGTTGATAGTATACCCTGTTGTTATTCAGTGGACTATAAAGTGAAGCGGTAAAATGTTGTGTTCAGGCAGTATCCAAATGAAACCGGTAGAATTTGGGTATATTATAGGTGATCGCATCAGGGTTAAGGAACTCAGCGTAGACTTCTACGCTTGCAAGATCCACTGATGAATATACTTCCAATCTTCATAAAAAAAAATATGAACGAACACTGATTTTATTCGGCGAAAATATGTAAAGAGACAGAGACGGATTAGTTGATCCATCTTTCCATCTATTCTAGCCACTAGTATTTTCCCTCTCAATTACAGATTATTCACAAATGCGTTTAACACTCATATTATGTAAAGCTGTTCCACAAGTTCGATTTAGTAACTATATCAAACTTGATCGAATACCTGGCAATGTTTTCGAGGGGTAAATTGATTTGCAAGATAAATATAAGTTAAGCTACTTCTCTGTCTGTTATAGGAAACATAAAGTTCGAAGACGATTATCGCCGCTGCACAAACTCTATTTGCAACGTCGAATTGGTATTGAATTAGAAAATATGTCACATTTAAGTCGAGCGTATTTGACCGAAGTAAGTCTGCAGTAAAAATAGGTGGTGCAGAATTAGTATATCGAAGATGTAATCTGTTGAATGCATAGTATGAAAAGGCACGAGGTTTAGTGCCTGATATAGAGAACTATAGAAAAAGCACTGCCAAAAATGTTATGATACAAAAGTTATTTGACTAACTGTTGTTTTATCCCTTTTTTTTAGGCCGAAGACAATTTCTATTTGAATGATCCTGAAAAAAAAGCGGCAGAAGCGGCTGCTGTTGAGCTGAAAAAACGTCAAGAAGAAATTCCCAAAAACCGTTATTTTATTAAAGAACTGCTACAACCACTGACCTTGCACAAGAAATGGGAATAAGCACGACATTTTTCTCTTCCCATTCGCTTATTTTTTTGTACACTTAGATAATATTGTTGTTGTTTTCTTGTTTTCTAACTAACTTTTAATAAGAAATGAGGAATAAAATAGAGCAGTTGATCAAAATGTTCGCTTTTGACTACGGTTACTTTTGTAAACATATTTTTTTCAAGCCGTTACAAACAAATCCAAATAACTCGAAGAGTTGTGGATATTTCTGAATGAGATTAGCTCAAGTAAAGATGGAATAGTTACTAAAATGACGAGAAATGTAATGAATAATTGTCGATAGATAAGTTGAATTTATTAATGTAAATGAAATGCCGTACCCCCCCCCTCACATTAGAAGCCCACCCGCACTAGAAACCTAGTCTGGCAAGAAATTTTTTGAACATTGCCTCTGGGGGGGGGGGGGGGGGGGGGGGGGGGGGGGGGGGGGGGGGGGGGGGGGGGGGGGGGGGGGGGGGGGGGGGGGGGGGGGGGGGGGGGGG